CATGCATGCATGCATGCTTACATACACATGCAAATATAGTCCTGCATGCAGCTTTGCTGGAGGCGAACCCCTGAGGCCGGGCACGCAGCCGCGCTTGGGCCGCGAAGCGCGAGACGAGGGATGCGCTGGCACCTGCCGGCACACAAGTTTGTGCGTCCGTACGGCTGTCACACCCTCAGCCCACTTTCGCTTCCGTGGTTTCCGTGATGCCTGACACTGATGAGGCATCCTGCTGCTTGGGTTGCTCGTGCGCGGCTATGCAGCCGTCCTGAAGCGAAGATCTGTGAAAGAAGCCAGTGAATCGAAACAGGCAGTTTGTTCATCCTGTTGCGCACGTAAGGCATCAGCAATGACTCGGCGCCACCCCTCGCAAATGGAGTAAAGAACCTGGCACGGTCTCTCTGACTTGCACACTGCCTAGCGGCCTTGCGGGATGCAAAGGAAAAGCCTGTGGATCTGAATGTTGCAGCCTCGGGCTTTCTGCAGTCTGAATCTGCTCCGATCATGGTGGGAATCAGAAAACCTTCAACCACTGCCAGACGAAAGTGCCAGGCAATTGTGCGAGAGTCGGCAGCGCAGGCTTCACTTGCTGGTTGAACCTGAGGAATGAGGAAGTTAAAAGATGAACCGCCTTTCCCACCTAACTGTGCATAGTGACTGGTTCAACAGCATCTTCAGCGGCGAATGCAGTGCAAGTGCCCGACACTTCCGGCGGTGGCACAGCACGCAACATTGCAGCCTGAGCAGGGAGCTGGGCTTACCACGCCGTGACTCTTCTTACGTAACTTCACGAGCTGAAGCTCCCTGTCCAGAAGCTCGCGTCCTGACTGCCAAGAATCCGGCGGCAGCATTCGCCGCCTGCCGCTGCACGGAGATCTGGAAGAAGTCCTCGAAGCAGCACAAGGTTAAAGCACATAGACGCACCTTCCGAGGACAGCGACAATGACGAAAATAAATCACCGGATCCACTAGGACAACTGTAACTGCTGTTCCCTTCCACCGTCATTGTAGCAGTTGTCACTACCATTTCGTTATGTAGTCGAGGCTTTCTTTTTACCTTTGCGGTATTTCCTCAAGTATAGTCTCACTCTAACACCTGTATTCCTCCTGCTCGATTCTAGTACTGCTCCGACCTTAGCGCCATCTGGTAGGAAGCTGATACTACGGTTTAGGGTTTATGGTAGCAGAAGGCAGCAGAGAGCCCAAAGGCGGCTGAGGACCCCGACCAGAAAGGAGAGGATGGCTTCCAGGCCGCCGGCTTTCAGCACTTGCAGCGGCTGATCCTGGAACTTTATGCGGTTTTTGGTAAGTGCCGTTTTGTGTGGGGGTTTAGGGCTCAGGGAAGTATAGGGTTTAGCGTTGGCCTTTGGCAGGCATTTGGATCTTGACCTTGGGCTTGGAAAGGAGTTGCAAGTCGGACGTACGCGGCCTTAGCCCCCAATGTGAAATATGGCCCTGCTCAGCATGCTGAGCGGTCAAACATGATGGAGGAACTCCGGAATACCTGATACTTGGCTGCCTTTTGCCGCAGCACGAAACTTATGCCAGGCGGGGAAGGGTCGTCGTGCTTTGTCCTCAGAGATGAGCTCAATGATGGAAACAGTGAGCTCCGCGACCTCGCACAGATCTAATTTGCCCCACGATGAAGGGCACAACTCATATAAATCTCTTACCACATGTCACGTTCAACTGTATCAAACTTTTCTATACCCTATGCTTTGATTTTCAGTACTTCATGGGTGTCGCATTGCTTCTTACTAAGCGCAACTAGAGCCGTTGCCTTCATGCTTGAAGCATATTCGACGGACAGGCAGCTAGATGCCTTCTTCACACAGTTCTGCAGGGAGAATGAGTGAACTCCATCACAATCTTGCCGCATGTGCCACTGCAACACTGCAATAATATACTTCCCCAACGCCCGCCCGGCAGAGCTCGGGACGTCAATGTACTCAATATTCAGCAGATTTGCACCTTCGCTGGATCAGTGCACGCCGGCGGTGAATCCACGCACAGGAGATGAACTTGAGGGATGCACAGAGCACGGAGAGACCCCCATGGCCAACAATGATCCTTGCTGTTGGAGGCCTGGGCAGCAAAAGCTGTGCTCGGCGAAAAATGGTGCAGCGACGTCTCCGCCAGGCATCTGCTAAGAGCTCGGCAGGATGTCGACCACGTTGAAGAGGCAGCGGCAGGCCAGCAACATCACCTGCCAAGGAGAATCATGGTTGAGAAACTGCTCTCAGTCCAAGTCCGAGCCTGTGCCGTTGTCTCGTCGCCATTGCCAGGGTTTCCAAGCAGATTGATCTGAGGTGCGAGGCAAGGGCTTCACTCCGGTTTCGGACGGGTCGCAATCGAAAGGCTGGCTGGGGCAGCCGCCAGCAGGGGAATGAAGGTCTCCATCGGAAAGGAGATCAAGGCCTCCTCGGAACCTCGGAGAAGCTCCGCCGGAGCTCCGGAAGGGGGGCGCTCCGAGCCATCTCCGAGCCACGGGCTGAAGCTCAGTTGCTCCGCCAGCTCGGTGAGGGCCAGGAGCTGCTTCTGCCCGTCCTACGAAAGCAAGGAGCGGCGTTTTGCCTACAAGGAATTCGTTCGGCAGATAGCGGCACCTCACTCTTCAAATCCCGCAGCAAGGGCGAGAACTGCGAGGACCTGGAAGGGGCTAGCAAGACATGCAGCGACAAGGCAGCAGGTTTGTTGCCGAAGGTCCCGACGAGGAGGAACCGAGACCAAAGGGGGCATGAAAGCCTCATCAAGCAGTTCGGTTCATGCGTTCACAGGCTTTGAGGCCGAAGGGCCTTCCGATGCTTCTGAACCTTCCATCTGCTGTGCCCGCTTCATGAAGAAGCTGAAAGTTCCACCTCGTTCCAGGAACATCCCAAAGGGGCGATACCACTCGAGTATCTCGAGTGGGTGCGCGGCCCAGCTCAGAGCCTCCGGGACGTTGCCTCGACCTGAGAAGGCCGGGGCTTCTTCGGCTTTGGGCTTTGGAGGCTTCGCCTTCTTCGGGGCGCTCCTTCAAGGAGCCTCCACCACATTCCACTCAGGACTGGACAAGGTTCTTCTCGGGACACCCGAAGGCGTCTCCGCATCCTTCCGAGGTTTCCAAGCACGAGTCGTCGATTCGAGAAGTTTGCTCGAGCTATCGCACTTGTGATTTATGTCGCACTGACTCCGCTGGACAGCCAATCCCGTCTTGTCCTTAGCATCTCAGTGTAAGAACCAACTGCACAAACACTAAAGCCGCCAGGACATTGATCTCACTGGGGCTGTTGGGAGAAGCAGGGCGGCACCTACGCCTAGCTGCACTCCGCTTAGGAAGCACGGCGCAGGTGCGACAATCACAATCTCGCGCAGAGACTCTGAAATTCCTAATTACCCTACCCTACGTGATGAACTGCGGGAGAGAGTTTCTGTCAACTCTCAGGATATTGCTAGAACAACAAGATCGCGAAGAAGCTTCCTTGCCATCCCGTGACATCTTTGTTTTCGGAACTACTTCTCCATCTCCGTTCGGTTGTTGAGAAGCATAAAGACTACGACGAGTGATGCGCAAGATCCGGCACCAAAGCACAGAAAGGGATTCATGCCGTAAAGGGATGCCAGGCACAGCGGCGTGATAACTCTGCCGATGTTGTTGATGAGAGAGTCCCTCCCCAGGACCTTCCCGCGCTGCTCTTTGGTCACAAACTTGGCCAAAAGAGTGGGCACGGTCGTTGGAAAGGTGGCCGAGCCAAAGGCATAGCAGGCTCCACCGATCATCAACATCATGATCTTTATGGGGGGCTGTTGAAGACTTGCAAGGCCCATGAAGAGGAGCCCCAGTAGAATGGCGAGCGCACCCAAAGCTCCTGTCCAGACCAGACCGAGCCGTCTAAAGAGGGCCTTGTAGAGGAAGAGCTGGCAGAAAAGGACAAAACCTGCGGTCGAGGTCAGGAAGACTCCGATAGTCCGGGCCTCGAAACCAAATCTGTCATGGAGCAGAAGAGGCGTAAAGAATGAGAAGCAGGTCTGGCTCACCACGTAGAAAAAGGACATGACAAAGACCTGGTTCACCAGCAGTGGCCATTTCTTGGCCGAGTCGTCGGGCTGCATGGGCTCTTTCACTTCGACGTCAGAGGTGCGCGCCGGAGACTCTTCGACACACGTCCAGCAAATCGCGGCACCGAGCAGGTGCGCCACAAAGGTTGCAAGAAAGGGTCCTGCTATGCCAAACTGTGACGCCGTCATCAGACCGCCGAGAAAAGGTCCCACGATAAATGCGAAAGTGGCCGAGGCCTCGCGCCAGACCATAAATCGCGCAAGCTTAGAGGCAGGAACAACATCCGCCAGGTACGCTTTGAATATGGGATTGCAGCCCGCAAAACAGCCTGTCACCAGACGCATGAAGAGGAAGCCACGGAACCACTCCTTCCCAAGAAACCAAGCCTGAACGAAAAATAAGAGGGCTGTGACGAACATGGACCATTTCAGAACTTTGATGCGGCCCCAGGCATCACTCCGGGTCGGCCAGTACCACACCGCAGCCAGCATTCCCAAGGACCTGTAGGGCACACACTCACGGAAGCAGTGCTTCAGCAACTCAACCCGAAGCAGTCCCTGCCAGGTGGCATTGAAGAGGCAACCAGCCCTGTCTCCCAGTCGGGCAGCGTGAAGCGATTCCTGATTTCTGGAAGCGCTGGTGATGGCATCGTGAAACCTGGCGACCGAAACTCAGAAACTCATTCGAAGGCGGACCGTGATACGCTTCCAAGCCGCGCCTAGCAGGCTAAAGCAGGATACCAGGAGGAGCGCATAGATACTCCCCTCCTTCACCTGCATCTTCTCCTTCTCTTCCGGCTCCTGTTCCTGCGCCCTCCTGGGCTGTCCACGGCCGAAGCCCCATCGTTTTGTGGTCAGCGAGGAGGGTCTCCTGAAAGATAGATATCCGTCTCTCTGCTGGCTTATCTCTACAATCGCATACATGCATGTAGACATACATGCATATACCTTTGCGCAGATGATGTACAATCAACCGCGTCATTCATCAAGCAATAGAGTACAGCCACCATCTGCCCATGCAGTTACTGGCAAGCCTCTTGCAGCAGACCTTGCTTCACAAAGACATCACATGCTGATGGGGATGGAGCTCAGATTGATGTATTCATTCGTCTCCCGCCTTGCCGACGTTAATGCTTGCGAGTGTAGAGGTTGGCTTCGCCACCCTGAATGTCACAATGGCTACCAGCTTAATTGTAAAGACGAAGAGAGAAAGGGTGCAACCAGATGGTATAGACGCGTCTGTCTCCATCTATGTATATGCATATGTGAAAATATATCTCTATATCTACATACTATTTGTATACATGTATACAAACACGAAATGACCCGGTCGGGGAAAAACAGACTAACATTAACAGCAAAACTGCTGGTGCAAAGAAAACTTGCAAGATCAGACCTACACCTGCGCGACATGCAGGGATAGTCGGATGGCCAGTTTCGGGTATGAGCGCAAGGATATGCAGCAATACTTGACAAAAAGCGTATACATTCGGATGAAGACACCTGCCAGCCGGAAGACGAATACAGACATGGAGAGTAAATCACACGAAAGACGCACGGTAAGCAGAAGGACTTGTACGGTGTCAGTGCCCCGGGCTGAAAGTTCCTCACCCTCCAGGTGGTGAAGGGACATACTGTAAGGTCTTACGGAATGCAAACTCCTTCGCGAGTCCTCTGGCCGAACAAACAAAGATTCGGGCAAAAGCATTCGCCTCAGATTCAACACTTCCTGTACTGCCATGTGCAGCCTGCTACGTGCAGCCTGATTTTTGTGGGGAGAAACAGTGCTGGCAAGCCCGAGGCTTTGAAATGGATCAAGTGTGATTGAAAAACAAACCTGCGATCCACGTGTCCCCGAGAGACAGACAGGTTGGCAAAGAGGCAGGCACCCAGCCGACGGACGGAAAGACAACATCTGCCTTTACTGCAAGCACGCCCGGATGGAAGAAATCATGTTGTCTGCGGATTGGGGAGCAGACATCATGCTCCATCCAGGCAGGAAAAGGGCAAGACGGGCAAGAGCCTGTTGGCTGTTGATGTTCTGAACAGGGAGTCGGTGCCTACATGGGCAACATCCTGGTCCTGGTCCCAGCTCTTCTTGACCTCGTGTACATGTAAGCGCCAGCGCACACCGCCAGGCTGCCGAAGATGCTGACACTCCTGGGGTGGAGAATTTTCAGGTGAAGTTCTATGGAAAGCACCCCCAGCCAGCGATCCTCACCCAGGACTCCCCATGGCGTGGCGGCCGGGTCCCGCTGCGTGCAGGAACCCCCTGGCTTGGCCTCTGCGGCTGGCATGGCAATGAGGGCTCGAGCGACATCTAGAAAACTTCGACATGCGGCAGCCCGACCGCTCGCCTACTCTCAACTTCGAGCCAGGCCACATCGCAGAATAGTCGCTAACATGTCACAGGACGGCACACAACGGCACAACGTCTCGATCGAGTGTCGAGGGCACGGGCCTCGCTGGGAGAATTTGACGCTGAATCGTGGGGACCTACATTTGCTGTCTGCGAATGCAAACAGCGGTGCAAGATGGCGCAAGCACAGGTTCAGGCAGAAAAAGCATGCAAAAGCACACGACCACAGCACGAGCTCTATCACCCAAACTTCCGAATCAACGAAGCACCCAAGCTCCGCTCCAAAATGCCGAAGACAAGTCTGAGGCCCGAGCCACGAGACATTGCCTGGAGTTGGCAGCTGATGTGTTTGCGGCTGCTGCTGGTGATCTATCGGACACATCGACAGCAGCTCCCCCAGCCATGCCTCGCGGTACGATCGTTTGGAAGCTCGGCCTGCACACACAATTTCAACCATGGCAATTCTCGACAAGATACCTGAAACCAAGAAGAAACTGAATTGGCGGCGAAGTGCAATGTACTCATGCTATGCTTGGATATACGTACAGTACATGTACATACAAAGCAAACCGACAGTTACGGGCAGGTACATCTCCATATTTGCCACCCTCGTATGCCTGAAACTCGTGTACCCTGATAATGCTAGCCCCAGACAGTGCAGTCCCGAACATCTTGTACCCTGAATATCCAAAACCTCGAACTTGCTTACACTGAGAACCCAAACCCGAACATCTTGCACTGAAATATGTAAACCTGAGACAGCGCAGGCCCGAACATCCTGCGCCCTGCAACAAAAAAGCCACAAAACTAAAAAAAAACACCGGAAGCAGACAACCTCAAAACATGCAAAACACCCACAGCCCGACACGGTGCTAGAATGTGCAAACCCAAACATCTCGTACGCTTAACAAACAAATCCTGTACCCTCACGCAGAAACGCGCGTGAAGAAAACTTGAAGAAAAAACAACTTACCAACAAAAACATCAAAACTTACATACAGCCGAAATGCTCCAAAATGATCGTATTTCCTTGGTGAAGCGCGCGTTTCAACACAAAAGCAGCTACAGTCTCGGTGGCGGCGGTTTGTTTATGTCCAGGCTTTTGTAATCTACATCTCCAAACATGCAGATTTAAGGCAATCTGATAAGCTCTTTCAGCTTTGAGGTTGAACTGACACAGACGGAGCTGACACACACAGACACATGCAGCCGGTCAGACCAATATGACAAACGTACCGGATCACTCGCACAACACAGACCTTTCTGCAAATTTCTCAGCCGCAAGGCCCCCGCCCCGACCCACACATTCTCCAGTCTCACGGTTCTCGAACCCGCATCCGCAACATTCGCTGGCTGGTGACTGGTGTCTAAGCTCCCGATCTATTCCCTTTCTCCCGCCAGACCCAACGCGGCAGCAACGCGAACCTACAGGGCGGAAGGTCGTGTGCAAAAACCCAATGGAAATGACAGGACTTGAATTGAAGGCGGAAGATCCAGTGCAAATATAGCCACCTGGCCTTGGCCTTGAACGGAAAGTTAAACGGAAAAAGCCGGAAAATGTACCAGTAGTGTCCGATGCCGTATCCGAAGCCTCCCCAAGCATTACCAGAGTGAAATCGGCTACCATTGGACCATGCACATCACCTCGACAGGCAAAAAGTGCATCCCACTTGCAATAGCTATTGTGGCACCACCAAACCGTTTCATCTTCGTATACTGTACATATATGTATGTGGTTACGTCTGCGTCCATGCATATATATATATATATATGTGTCTTTTATCTATTTGCTTCTTCTTCACCTAACAAATACATATGTTCGTATACATCTATATACACATATATATATATATATACATCAGGTACATGCATGTGAACATGTACGCATTTGCATATTTATAAACTGTACATAGATGAACATATGTGTTATCTTTGCGACCGCAGGTACGGACGTCAGCTTCTGGAGTCGAGAAAAACAGCGAGAACGTCAGTGCTCACGGTCTTCTCTCGTTCACCCATACTTACATCTACTTACATCTACTTCTGTTAGAAAGCTGCAGCATTTGCGAAACACTCGAAATCTCATCGATACGAATGCTCTGTGGCCATGCGTAGTGCCACGAAGAGGAAAGCTGTTACAGGTTCTCACAGCCCTTGTATGTTCTCACGGAGAAGGTTGAAACGACTCTACATGTTTGCATGCTCTGGAGACAAGACTAGGATATCCGTTGTATGTTACACATGTGATCTGCCTAAACTGTGCTTCGCGATGCGGAGAACCCTTCGTTGCTGAGCTAGGGCATCTGCTTCCCGCGAAACAGAACTAAGGCAGCTCTTCCTTGTCTGAACATGAAGCGACAAGATTCGACAAGATGATCCATCACGGTCCAGCCTTGACCAGCTTCGTCGGCTCTGAGCCTGGCAAAATGTCCCGACTCTTCTTTCATTTCATCCGCCAAGAAGCTCCGATGTCTTACTTCTTCCTTCTGGCGACCTGGATGACCTAGATTCTCTAGATCAAGGACAGCTGTGCACAGACTCTTGGCGTCCGCAAAGACCAGCAGTGAAGGCCTCTTAGATGCTGGGCCCGACGGTGAGGCCCTGGTGGGAGTGCCTCAGTGCACCGAAGGCAGCAGAAGAAAGCTTCACGCTTTGGCCACAGGTCCATGACGCGCTGCCATCCATGTGAGGAAAATGCTTCGAAGCTATGTCAGCAACTTTTTGCATCGCTTTCTCCAAGTGATAGAGGTGCACTCTCCAAGCGACGATACCTGAACAAATCATCCTGGCATGTGGCACTGTGCAGCACCACAAATCAAAATGCTTCTGACTCCCGACGTCAAGGGCAGAAGAAACGCTTCCAGAAGGTGCTGCCAGCAGCAATTGAGACGGCGTCCAACACCTGTTAAAAAGAGTCCAGCAATCCCTGAAGCCCATTACTACTGCCTATAAAATTACCATCGCGACTCCTGTCGTACCGCGAATATGTTCATAAACTCTGTGTGGGTTGTGGGTCGATGCGCTCTCCTTGACATCCCTGGCCACGAACTCAGTAGAAGTAGCGGTGCATGCTGCCAAACTTGAACTTGTGCTTCTGACCTGGCAAATATTGAGCTGTCAGTGAAGTCACCTTCACACTTCGTGTCCCCACTTCTCCCCTTGGCCGTCGGCGGAGGATGGCAAGACCATGTCCTACAGTCTGCTCGATTTTCGGCTTGAACTCGGGATGCTTCTCCAACATCCTCGGAATCATGAGCTGGAGCAGCAAACATGTAGAGTTTAGCGAGGGTGGCCCCGCTCTCTGCTGGAGCGAGCATGCTTGACAAAATGCAAACACCACGCCAAGAGTCTTGTCGTACGCTTCAGACGCCTGCTTGGCCTTGATCTTGCTGCGAAGTTAGACTCCGGGGAGGCTAGTTTGCGCTGAAGGTCGAGCTGGAGACAAACATCTTACTGTCGTTGATCTGCGTGTGCCGAAAGAGTAAGGGGTCGTGTCAAGTTTGGTACTGCAGAAACTGACCCTTCATCGAATCGTGCGAGTATGCCTCTGATGGCGATTCGTTTGTCTGTGTCATGCCTTCTCATCAACTTCGAGTGAGGTGAAATGACTGTAAGTGCCTGTTGACATGAGACTCCCTGTCCTCCCGATAGAAATGCCCACGTCTTGATGGCTACATGCGTAAATCTAGGCATCATACAGAAACTAAAGAACATAGCCAAAGTGCATGCTCGTCCATGTTCTCGACTTTCTCCTGTCCACCAGAAACGGACACAAGCATGGTACAGGTGTCCACTGCCAATTTGCCGCCTCGGCAGCAAATCCGGTTCCCATGAAGCCCGAAGCTCGCGTCGCCAATTCGGCCAACTCATTCAAGTGGTCGCGAACATCCTGCTTGCTCTTGCTTACCACATGTTCTTGAAGATTCAAACCCAAAGAAAAGGCAATCTCCAGAATCTCCGTCCTCGCACTGGTAGAACACATCCATCCTAAGTGGCGAGGATCCGTACATGCAGGATGCTGAAGAACTTCCACCGCCCCTCCGCCGTTTGCTGCAATCTGAGTAGAGGAACATCTCCTGGACCGTCTTGAACTTCTCTCCTGATGCAGACTAGATCTAGCTTTGACCAGTTCTAGAGTTGCTTGCGAGCCTACTTCAGGCTCATGAAGGTATGGCTGGACGACCGAAGTCAGCTTCCTTGGTTAGGCACGAGGCCTACCGAACATGGATTGCCTTCAACCCTGACGACGCAAAGATAGATCCGGTCCAGGAGTCTCCAGCTCTGCCTGTGGCACGATGCGTCGCAGTTGAGCTTGCCGAGCGGATGGGACCCAAAAACCCTGTCGCAGCCTCCCAGAAAGGGACGCTGTAGACCAGGATCAGGTAGTCAGCCCAGTTGGTACTCATGACCTTGCTAACAGGCCAGAAGCCTGTCAACACGGTGCACTCTGTTCAGCTGAACAAAATTGGCCTAGACCGAGCTTTGGACAGTGGCATGGTACCTGGCGGGACAGTTTTTGCGACAACTTAGTGCGCAAATGACATCTGATCATTGGGGATCTTTTCCAAGGGCACTCATCAAGCTGGCTCAACACGTCGTCCCTGGAGTACTTCTGCACCTGGTGGAGAAAGACGACTGCAAAGAGTGTTTCCAAGGGCTGTTGCTCATTGCTGGGGCCAGCAACTGTGATATAGGACCGCGTTGCCGAGGCCTGTGCGCATCGTCCAGTGCAGTGGAAGACAGACGCATGTCTTGCTAGAACACAGAAGGCAACAAGCACTTCTGCCTGCATGGGCAGTCGTGCAAACGTTGCTGGCAGTTTCGTTGCTGGTGCCAGAGGGCGCGCCAGCCTAGCCAGAGGGGCTTCAGGATGACATGATGGTACGAGGTTTGTCAGCCTTCCAAAATGCAACGCAACTGCTGAGGCTCTCGCAATCTGGTGGACCTTCCAGCACCGAGCCTGTGCGACTCTCCCAGAAGCTCGGCTGGTCCCTGGCAACTCGCTACACCTTTCGCTGCCCTGAGGCCGCTGCGCAACTCCGCGAAAGGCTGCGAGCGCCATCTCTTCCAGCCTTTGCAAGCTGGGAGGAAACACCAGCTCACCGGCTAAGACTTGGCAGTATTCTGAGCGCATGGCAGCACTGGTATCACAGAAACACAAAGACTGCGGATGCTTGAGCCAGAAAGTCCGCTCTAAGTAACCATAGCATGAATAAGGAGACACCGTGTCACATGCCCCAAACTGATTGACCTCCTATTGCAACATGACCAGGGCAGGGGTCACGGGTAAGGCACTGACCACGCACCCTGTGTGGCTTGGCCTGAACAGTTGGCAGCCAGCTGGCATTTCCATCGTGGACACTTCACATCGCCAAAGCTGAGACTTCTGCAACCTCTTTAGCAGCCGGCCGCTTCCGAGCAGACGGTGTGCACCTCAACCCCCGCATTAACTACCTAGGAACAAACAAGCCGCTCTGCTAAAGGAAGCCCAGCGAGTATCCCAGTCTTCTAATGTCTGCTAGACTCGATGAGCACATGGTTGCAGAGACCGCGCAATGCTCAGCTTGGGCACGTCTGAGTACGGGCCATGCACAGCTCCGAAGGTCATGGGCAAAACCTGGACGAGTGTGCTGTCTTCAATAAAGCTTGTGAAAATGATTCTGGGCTTCGAACAGCGTGTCTCCCCCAAGCGCATATAACTGCCAGGGTGGCCCACAAGTTGGCAAAGCCACTTGAGCCCACAGATGCCATCAGCACTTTCACATGCAAACAGCTAGCGTGATTGCATGCTTAACTTTGGCCGGGCTCGTTGAGGCTCGAGACCGAAACGTGCACGGAGCCTCGCATCCCTTGTCACGGCAAGTACAGGCCGAGAGCTTATCAGGAAATGCATTTCAATCTTTCTACGGCAACGCATGTGGTGTCAGCAGAGGTACATCCTCAACTGGAGTCAGGTTCTGGCCACAAGCTGTCTGCGCGAGGGCAGGCCCATCTTCCAAATATCCACATCTGGAAGCTTCGGTTGCGTGCACAGAGCCAAAGCTTCCAAGCGGCAAACCGCGAACTGCCAGTGGACACACTGGTATACCTTTCTGAAGCAAGCTGGTTGTGAAGTCCGTTTCGGCCATAGGAGTTATGAAGCGAGGCCACAGCTTTGGTGGCCCCTCGCCCGTTGTGTTTCCTAGCCAGAGCAACAAAAAAAGACTGCGGGCTGAAAGTGCCAGCATGTCGTCTACGATGTATCCAGGCGCATCTCCGCGCAGAACCTCAGAGCAGCAGTGCTTTTGGCAGTAACAGAAGGAGAGATGTTCGTTCGTGAGTCCACGAATGTTCACCGCCGAGCGCAGCCTCGTGAGCATGCAGCCGGGGCCGCGTCGCGGCTCTCGTGGGTCTGGTAGGTCGGATAGCAGAAGGAAGTCTGGTCTCAGACGCACAAAGAAGCTGTAAGTAATGTTATTCTTCCATTCCCTCTCCAGAACACGCCGGAGGCAGGTCGTGATCCTTTTGACCTGGCTATCTGCTCGAAATGTCCACGCCTGCACGACTTCTGAAGGAAGCTGGCTCTTCTTTACAGTTCCCATCTCAATACACAACAGATACTCGGGCACAAGTCCAGCACGTCGTAGGGGCTCCAAGACGTGCAGCACGTGCGATTTGAAAGATGTGGAAACATTCCTGCTCCTCAAATGCTGCCGAATTCGAGGGCTTAGCTCGAATGCCAACCGAGTTCTCTCAATGTCCTCCAGCATCCGCCGAGATTGGCCGACAACCATGATTGCTACAAGATCCCGCGTCGAATTGGGCTCCGTGTGATGAGTACCCAAGTTGCGGTCTGGCTCCACTTCCTGACTCCAAGAGCACAACATGCGGTAGTTAAACGCTCGGCATAAGGTCGAGAAACCGCATAAGGTCGAGAAACCGCCCAAAAAGGAAGAGTGAACTGAGCTTGAGAGAAGCTGCCAGCTTGTAGTCGTCTGTCAGGTTTGGCATGGCACTTAAGAACATTCTGAAGCTCTTTGCCGTCCATGTTGGCGCAGAGGACAGCACGCCCTTTTGGAGCTGCGGCAAGAAAAAGAGACCTTCCACATTGCTATGTTGCACATGCAGGAAACCAGCCAAACATGCATTGCACAACATCAAAACATAACCCAATTGTCCCTTGAGGAATCACCACCACATCCAGAGATTCTCAGCACAACCCTTGACGATGAAAGGACTTATGCCTAAATTATTCGCAGGGCTGCTGATCGTCACATGCAACAACTAGCCTACAGGGTGTGCAGACCTGTAACCGCGCATGCGAAGAATACGTCCAACACAATTTCGCTTTTGTGAATTGTGGAAAGTGCCTGTGCTGAGCAAGCCAGCCTGTTGTCAACATGCCGACGAAGGACACCAATGCACAGCGACGGAAATGCACCATCAGCTGGAGAGCGCTTCCAATGCTTTTCGCAAATCGTGATTACTGCCAGTGCCTGACACTCCATTGGCAGGCATTGTTGACAAGGCTCACAAACCAAAACCGTGCCCACGACGGTACTGAACCTGAGGTTCAGAATGCATGCTAAAGACAGCTGTCCATCCGAGCCGGCAGCTCGAACCAAGGTTAAATGCAGTTTAGAAGCGCCGCGACGTTGCGCGAACCAATGTAACGTCGGAGCTGCGATCCACTGATACACTCGTGATTGTTGAACACTTCCCAGAGACTCCAATACTTCCTAAAT